TTTTGAACATATTACTCCTTTGCAGGTAGGAGATTTTTTTTCGTGTTATTCCGATTTGTTTAACTTCAAATATTATATTTACACATGTGTATCTTTTATCTTTACAGTACAAAGCTATGCAGGCTGCTGGACAAATACCTGCAAATATTGTAGCAGATACTCCGCAGGCAGCTGTACCCGTAGTTGGTAGCACCATAACTCGTCAGGCTCGAAGGCTTTACGTAGGAAACATTCCATTCGGAGTCACTGAAGAGGAAATGATGGAATTCTTCAACCAACAGATGCATCTGTCTGGACTTGCGCAAGCTGCTGGAAATCCAGTATTGGCGTGTCAAATTAATTTAGACAAAAATTTCGCATTTTTGGAGGTATAACACTAACTTATACACACATATACAGGATGTAATTTTTTATATCGTTTTTTTTTTTTATAAATCATTGAAAGTATAGTATAATATCGTTAATTTTGATCTAAGCATAATAGGGATATTCTTTTTAACTTTTTTTCCTTTTAAATACAGTTCCGATCAATAGATGAAACCACGCAAGCCATGGCGTTCGATGGCATAAATTTTAAAGGACAGAGTTTAAAGATAAGAAGGCCACACGATTACCAGCCAATGCCGGGGATGACCGATAATCCAAGCATGAACGTGCCAGGTACGGTTCCCGGTATGTTCTAACATACATTTCCTTATTATTCAATATACTCGCGTTCGCGTCACATTTAAATAAACCGTCACCGCTTATCTTAATTCCGTGTGTATATTTTTATTTTAGATTCGCCACACAAGATCTTCATTGGTGGTTTACCAAATTATTTGAACGAGGACCAGGTATGCATGGCAAAGCCTTGAAATAATTTTATCTATTGCACACCTTTGAATGCAATTTTTTTCTTCATTGATAATTATTCTAATCAATAATCACATTAGTTTGCCAAACGTTGCTCTGTCAGTTATATATTTTTATATTTATCGCGAAAGGACTTCAATGATCGATGAAAAATTGCATTCCACGATATCACAACGTTACAGGGCTATGTATATAGCACGGAGGGCATGTGCATATGCTAACCCTGTCGCGTTGTATGTTACCCTCAAAGGACTAAATTATAATATAGGTATTTAGCTATTTAGCGGTGAGTGCACTCACACATACGTACACACGACTGGGAGCCCTCGTCTTACTCGAGTTCAACAGAGGTATGTATGCGTTTCCATCAAGATATTTCGGCGTCGATTAGGCTCCTCATTAGATAGAGGTGTATAATTCAGAACGTGACTTTGTATTATTTTTTTCATATTTTTTTTTTTTTTTTACATCCGGGCAGTCCGCTTCTCGTGTTTTTCTACGAAACCTCTTCTTATCCTTCGCATCGTCGCTCCAATGTGGCATATGTTGCTTAGTTTAGGGAAGTATTAGCGGCGTTACAGCATTTAGGTGGTATGCAGTCATCGACGATCATCCTTCTCTCTCTTACAGCCTTTCTAGGCGTTGCGGACCCAGTCCATCACGAAGATACGAATTTCTAGGCAATTTTTTTAGGAGAGCCAACAGGGAAGGGAGGGAGGGAAGAATTTGTCTTGACTACGGTTCGGAAATAAACCGAAGAAAATAAACGATCATTCATGTTTTCGAATCGTATGGAGTAAAGATAAGCAGGATATAGAAACTTACTTGGTGACATTTTGAAACGAGTTCCTCTAAAGTTTTTTATGTCCTTGGATATTTTTCCGCACTTTGAAATTTTACAGACTCGTCCTCTCGTGCAGCAATGAATACATGTTGCAAAGGATCTCTTTTTAGGTCTGGCAAGAAAAGCATAAAAGATCAACATTTTTATATATAGCAGAATTTTTTTTTTCCTTTTCTTTCTTTTTGGGATTACAGGGTCAACACATAATTTTATGTGCATCTGGTAACAGCTCCAAGTTCTCCGGTATATATTCTTTTCAGGAATACCTCTTTTCCTCTTTTTGCAGCTGTTCTTTTTTACAGGCTTTTCAGGCTTTACGTGCTGCACGTCTCGTCTTGTGCCTCGTTACGTTTACAGGTCACCGCGAACGAATGACTATTGAATATATCAATGCATTGAAAGCTTGTTGAGCAAAAAATAAGAATGCAAAGAAAGACGTAAATAATTAAAGAAGTAACAAATAGAAATAGTAATAGTAAAAGAATAGAAAAAAAAAAAGAAACAGCTATCTTTCGTTGGATGATTTAATCGAATAGAATGCAACGGTATTTCTTACAAGTTATGTTTAAATTCGTAAGAGAAGTAAAATAAAAAAGAAAAAAAAAACGTATCATCTCATTATATAGTAAACTGTGGACTGATACCAGTACCCTTTCTCCCCATTTCTTAGCTTAGGGTCGTGCCGATCAAAAGCATTCGCTTACCACTACCACTACTTCTACCACTACTTCTACCACTACTACTACTACTACCGAACATGACAAAATACCACACTGCCTGGAGAGAGGCTAGCCCAGTCCCTCGAGGCAAGTACTTATACCATTCTCATGCCTTCGTACATTGGATTATGCGACGATTTTGTAGACCCCCTTCCTCGATGTGTTGTCGGTTCTCCTGTGCCAATGGTGCGTCCTCTGATTCAATAATTTTACATTGATAAAAGCATATTGCTCTTCTAAATTGCTAGGTGATTAGCAACTTTGAGACGTAGAATCAATTTTACGACGACAGAAAGGAAAAATGTAATTTCTCTTCGAGAGCAGCATGCTGTTATCTAAAGCTTTATGTTTTCAGGTCCTTAGTTCGTCGGCATATATGTAAGTATAACAATATAATGTATATATTATAATAAAAAAAAAATATCAATATCAAAGTCAATGATTTTGTGTTTGAAATAACAAATGATATAAAGAGCGTGACGCCGAAGCGCAATCAAGTGGAAATTATTTCCTCTGGCACGGAGGCGATGTGTGTAAGGAGTTATTACCGAGGAGAGATACGCAAGCATATTTATGCATTTATATTTCATTTTTCTTATATTGAGACGATGCAACTTTCTTCTAAAATTCTTCTGGAAATCGCAGACTTCAATCAAGTATCTCGTTAATCCGAAAAGTTACTTTCATATATTTGAGAAATTTATTTTAATATTAATAAATTTTGATCATAAATTCTATATGTTTACATCATAAAAATGCAGGATCTTCAATTATAATATGTGAGAAAGTTCAAATATGATATATAAAAGTTTCCAGATTTAAAAAAAAAATATATAAATATCTTTTAAATATATAATTCATAATTTTATCTTTCATTTAACTATAGATTTTTTACAATTATAATATCAGAGTTGCATAGTCTATACTTGATAGATTTGAAGTTTGTGTTATGCGAATGGAAAAGTAATAATTTCATGATAATACAGGTGAAAGAGTTATTGATGAGCTTTGGACAACTGAGGGCGTTCAATTTAGTAAAGGATTCCGCTACCGGTCTCTCCAAGGGGTATGCCTTCTGCGAATATGTGGATGTCTCGATGACCGACCAGGCGATCGCCGGGTTGAATGGGATGCAGTTGGGTGATAAGAAATTAATTGTGCAACGCGCCAGCGTAGGTGCTAAGAATCCCATGATAGGCGCACAAGCTCCAGTACAAATTCAAGTGCCTGGTTTGTCGATGGTTGGCACGAGCGGACCTGCGACCGAAGTAAATTTTGCTGAGATATTCGAATAAGCTTATCAAAAATCATTAAACTAAAATTTAACGATTTAAACAATCGTATGACATTTTTTAGGTGCTTTGTTTGCTCAATATGGTCACACCGGAGGAATTAATGGAAGAAGAAGAGTACGAGGATATTCTCGAGGATATTAAAGAAGAATGTAACAAATATGGTGTCGTGCGATCAGTGGAAATCCCACGACCTATCGAAGGTGTCGATGTACCCGGATGTGGAAAGGTATATTTAATATTGCAATATACATCTGCGTGCATATTACTTATCTTTTTACTTTGTTACAGGTATTTGTTGAATTCAATAGCGTGATTGATTGTCAAAAGGCACAGCAGACTCTCACAGGACGAAAGTTTAATAATCGCGTTGTAGTCACGTCTTACTTTGATCCCGACAAGTATCATCGTAGAGAATTCTAAGACGATTCTCTTTTTCATACCGTTTAATAATTATATATAATATGCAATGTATATGTGAATTTGAATTATCTAAACGTACCCCGAAGAATTAACAATTACTAGTTAATAAACAACGATGAAACAATAACAGGTATTCAAGTGTAAGTGATTAAAAATAATCGCAATTGAAAACATCGATATATCAATTCAAGGCTTCTCTCGCACTTTGAATACATGAACATGAATATGTATAATAAATTTGGTCATTAATATACATATTGACAATGTGTGATACCTTATACACTTGTATATCGCTGAGAGAATAATTCTAATAAATCAGAAAATAATTATCAGAAAATAATTATCTCAAAAATAATAAAGCAGAAACATAACTCTGTTTCTGCAAAAAATATGTTATTTATAAAATTTTGATTTACATAATTTAATAAAGTATAAGTAAAGATTTTTTTTTAACAAATTTGTTAAAAATTAATTCAATTTTCAAGTTACAACAAATTGATAGGAGTGATTCTCCTATAGATTATGAATTTTTGTAATGGCGTGTAAAGTTCATTGAGCAATAGCATGCCAAAATGTAACAACTATATCAGGTATAGTCATACCTTTTTTGAGTCCTTTTCACAATTTTTTTATTTCATTACTGTTATCGATATTGTAATAACAACTGTTTTATTATCTTTTAATCTCTCAAAATCTTACCAAGAATATTCACATTAGACCTATTTGATGTTGTTCAGAAAGCAACAGAAAGATTTGCAATTCATTTTTTATGCAATCTATTACAATTTATACGCTACATCACCTGCACCATCCAACGTAAGATTTATTAATAAATGTATATGAAAATAATTGAATATCGCATTAAAAAATTATTATTATTTAACAGTTTAATAGCATGATAAACTATTACTGTCATATAGTATCGACATTTTGCGAGAATTTTCACTTTCGAAGACTGCTTGAGTGGTTCTCAAATTGTCTTTCATAACAAAAAAGTATTATAATAATTTATTTAAAAAATCAGTAGCACTGCTGTTTCATAAAATTTTATATGACAAGAGAGAGACTGCAAAAAAGTTTGAGAAATATTACACCACGTGCGCGCAACGTTTACTATAACTAAATAGTAAAAAATATTGTATGTGATAGATTCAATTGGAAATTTAAAAAAATATATTTATACTTTTTGGAATATTTACAACAAACATTGCATGTGCATTATCTAAGAAAGCCACACAGAGGTTTTGTTCGGCCGAGTTTATCTTCCTCCTCTAATGTTTTCTTAAGAGCTTCATTTAATTTAAGACCGATGTCCTTTCCTACCTGTGAAATCGAAATCGAAAATTTAGATTTAAAAACAAATTACCATATTACAAATTTTTGTATTATTTTTTTGCATTCCTATCATGTAGCATATAGAATGAGAAAGCAATGCAAGAGAATAGTAAAAAATATTGTATATGTGATAGATGAAATTAGGAATTTAAGAAAATATATTTATACTTTTTGGAATATTTACAACATGGTAAATAATAGAAAAATAGAGAATAAGCAATGCAAAGGTTTGATTTTAACCATATAAAAATTAAAAAACATTTAAAGATTGTTATTACCTCCAACATCTTAATTAAGGTGGTAGGTAACAAGCTCCCATATCCTTGCTTGACCATAGACGTCACTTTGCCGTTCGGCATCACAGACATAATGATATTAACCGCACTGCACGATTCTTCTTCTAATGTTGGATCTATCACAAAATTGTCACCAATCTGTTGAACAAGAAAATATTTTCCATTCAAAATGTTAATTATTGTATTAATTACATATTAAACTTTTGTGCTGTTGATTATAAAATATGTATACAATTAATCCAATTAATATATACAATTAAATAATATATTAATTAGATATTGTATATATTAATTAATTAATATATACAATTAAAACTATAAAAATGAAGGGAAAAAAAATTAATAGTATCATTCTTTAATAGAAATATCTCGCATATTTAAAGAGAACTTTCACATCTAATTTTTTAGATAAATATTAGAGAAAACAGAGAAAAAAATAGCTTAATGCTATATCAATATTTTTAGTATAAAAATTATTTTTAAGAATTAACATATACCTTGCATACTGTTACTATCGATGGATATGTCGTAATATCGAGTTTAATGCAATCGTAAGGATCATCTGAGACCTGAATATCTGGTTCCCCACCATCGAGCGTTGCTGCAATTACTTTTGGAATTTCAGTATTGTACAATGCTGCTTTCACCGCGGCACCAACAGCGTCAAACAGATTTCCACCACATTGAAGAATCTGAGGAGACAAAAGATGACAGTGTGGACTTTTAAGCAGCAGTCCATCATTTGATAACACTTACCAAAATGTCCACGTACATTTTCCAACATTTCTTATGAGGTATTATACACAATTGTCTTAAGTCAAAGACGTCTGGTGTCTGATAAGCCATGGAAAGAACATTGCTTATTTCGGTCGCTAAATCATCTCCACCTTTGCCTTCAAATGCTGGTGTGGCATTAGCCGAACTGTGGAGAAGAGATGATAAAAATATGACATTCACAAATATGACTTTATAATTGAAAATCCAAATCTACTAGATATACCAGTCCACAAAAAAGTCCAGTTTGCCTTCATCTGGTTTTTCAGCATATGGTGTGTCAATTTCCAATTTCACGCCAACTAATACATCTGTAATATTGCCAATGCGAAGTCTTGCTGATCCATGTGCATGTGGCATCAGTCTAGTTTCGATCTCGATGGAACGATATTGGCACCTAGATCGACCATCATTTCTCAGATCAAGCTGAAATAATTAATAAATTCAATTATTGCAAGAGTAAATAAATAATTGGGAAATAAATAAATAAAATATATCAAAATAAAATATAAATATAAACTTAATATAAACTTAATAATATATAATACATATACAGGGTGTTTCAGATCACCCGTACCACCCATTTAAAAACTAGAGAAGTGGTTTTTTTAAAAAGATAAAAACATTTTCTTTATAAATCGGATGCGCTCTATTGAATGATGATATTTTCAACTTTTGGTTTCGGCCAGAAATAGGCGATTCGGACCGGAAGTGCATTTTTTTATGGAACCTCCTATTTTTCATTGCATATTCTTGTAGCTTACCTCGAGAGCTTTCCAAAACACTATAATAAATTATTTTTCCATGAAGTACTTTTCGAGTTATGAGGCTCGAAAGCATTTCTTAATTTTACATAAACCATAAAATATCTTGTAAAATATTCATTTTTCGATTATTTTACCTTGATACTTTTATGTACAAAATAATGAGAGGAATCAATTGGTGTAAAGAAAACACATAGTTGTTTCTAAGAAAAAATATATAATTTGCAATTCCATATTTTTTCTTAAAAACAACTGTATGTTTTCTTTACACCAATTGATTCCTCTCATTATTTTATACATAAAAGTATGAAGGTAAGATAATCAAAAAATGAATATTTTACAAGATATTTTATGGTTTATGTAAAATTATTTCAAGCCTCATAACTCGAAAAATACTTCATGGAAAAATAATTTATTATAGTGTTTTGGAAAGCTCTCGAGATGAGCTATAAGAATATGCAAAAGCATATAGGGTGTTCCATTTTAAAAAATGCACTTCCGGTCTGAATCTCCTATTTCCGGCCGGAACCAGAAGTTGAAAATATCACCATTCCATAGAAAGCGCCCGATTTATAAAGAAAATATTTTTACTTTTTTGAAATAACCACTTCTCTAGTTTTTAAATGGGTGGATATACGGCTGATCTGAAACACCCTGTATATAAAACTGTTTAAAAAAAATTAGTAATAGAATAAGCTAGTTTAAAATAGCGAAGATAATTGATTTGTGGAAGTAAACATCAGTTCCTATTCATATTTTTTCTATTTCAGATTTTAAGTCTGGTTCAGATCGTCTTAAGATTCTATTCAGCCAATGAAATAACCGTATAACATTTTTAAACCTTACTTAAGATAATCTTAAATATTAGAACGGGCTGTGAATACCGGTCATAATGTGTTGTCTTTAGGAAACAACAAGGGTGAAATGATTCTGCGAACGTTGCGATCGTCAAATGGAACGCAGCCATTCAAGACATCGATACTCACATCGACTCCATGAAGAATAAATGTCTTTTCGCCTAAGCCCAAGGGAGTTTCAGCCATTCTGAAAAAATTAATTTTCAATATTAATTTTACTTCAATTCAAATAAGATCGTATCAGGTATAAAATATTTTTGCCGCCGTTTGTTGCAATAAAAGAAAACATAACCTTACTTAGAACCACGAGGTTATCCTTTTATAACTGAATTCCTCGTATTTCAGTCTACATCTATTAAAAATAAAATAGATACATTTACGGAAGTTAGAGAAAAAGAATAAAAAATGCAGGAATTTAGTTACAAAGAACAACAAATAATCTAATAACTAACTACCTTGTTATGATTGTTTTGAATAGATTCAAAAAAGACTGTCTTATAAATATTAAAAAGAGAGAGCGATAGCGGCGGATCTCTTTCTCTCTCGCACAATGGAAGGAGAGAAAGAGAAACCGACCGCTATCGCTCTCTCTTTTTGATGTTTGACAGTTTTTGGATGAAGATGCGCAGGATCATTTTGAATGGCGATAACCATCGACTAAGAAATATCTAGAGAGTAACACTAACTGCTCTAGTAATAATACAATCTCGGGGAAAGGGGACATGAGGTTGATCAATCCGAGTTGACCATCTATTTTCATAAATCTATAGCTATTTTTAATTTTTCTGATTGGTCTATTTTTATACAAATAAAATAGTTAAAAATTATTTGAAGATAAAGCAGTTTAGTTTAAGAAAATTTAAATTTACTTTCGAAGAATCTTTAATTATTAAAAATAATATATTTCGGTGGCATAAATTCTCTAAAATTCTGATTAAAATTTTTCACTCTCCAGGATTGCATTCAAAATTTATCTTGGAATAGAATAGTGTAATTAATTAAATAGACATGTTTTTTTAAAATCTAGATTGGTGAATGGAATGTCACTGATTACTCCAAACTAATAAATTTTGGAAAATAACTCAGAAGAATATAATTCTGAACAAAACTATACAAATTTCACGTTTTATATAACAATAATAAATTGAATTTAAAAAAATAAATTAACAAATTGAACCAATTTTATAAAACAAATGAGATTGATATCTATTATTACTGTTTATTAATAATATCATGTTCTCTAATAACATTTATTAATTAAATAACTATATATGAAAGACATGTATTTCTACAATTATATAGGAGATTTATCGAAACCATTCACATAAAATTGGTTACCCTTTGTTCGATATATAGCATCCAGATCTTTGGTATCAGGATACATTTTGGGTCTTGATAGAGCTATTTTCCATCCACCTTGTCTTGTCCATTGCTGGAAATAAAATATATAAAATATACCTTGAAATAAAAGCAGTGCTAAAATAAAAATTTCTTCTCATATTTGAAAAAAACTTTTGTTACAGTACCATTTTATTATACTTTAGATGATAAAAGATGCAATAGACTGTAAAAATACCTATCGCGGTTTTGGATATAACATGTCGTGCAACATATGCACCTGTGTAGCCCTGTAAGACAAAAATTAATTTTTGTATACATAAGTTTTATTGAATAAATCTTTCTCATCGTGCTTGCACTGTTACCAAAAATGGTTCCATCATATTTTGAACTTTATTCATAGGCGCTTTGTAAAATCTCCTGATGGGATTGAACATCTCCTTGTAGTAACCAGGTGGTGTCACCGGTTCTTCTGGAGCGAGCTTTTGTGCATCCAGCCATTTCTTTCTCCAGGCACGTTCCTCATCTGTCATCCCCAGCATCCGTTCCCTTTCGCGACCTACACGACGAACTATGTTCATGGGTCTCTCTCCTCCGCCTTCCAAGGCTGTAGTATTTGGGGGACCTGGTACTCTAGAGACAGTAAATGAAATTGTAAAAATAATTACAAAAATCTATTGCCAGTCCTAAATATTGCTTGAATAAAAGAGAAATATTGCTAGATTATAACTTTGATGCATTGTCAAAATCATTGAAAGGATTTGCATGAAATACTAGGACTCATTATTTTGAGTGATGCAAGGATTTATGTAGATATGTAAGTTTTCTCGTTATTTTTCATCGTGAGAAGCTTTTTATTATAATAAAAAAAGGTTAAAAGTTTTTTAATGTCATGTCAAAATTACACTAGGCACAAAACTGATACATGTCAATATTTCATTCATTTGTTGACACACATGTTGTTATTTTATGCTGGAAATATACCGAAGAATAAAAAAAAAATATTACGTACCGCGACATGATTCTGTTAACGTTTAAAAGAATCTCAGAATATTATCAACAATTCCTCAAACTTTTCTGGAAGTGAGGTTATATGTTCCTATTACATCACACATGTCACATATGTGGCGCCATCTTGAATACATTCGGAAATCTCGCTTTTGACCAATCAAACGCAAAGATTTCTTTGTTCTGATTGGTAAATTCCATGTTATTTTATCCCGCGAGAATTTTCAAATTTTCAAACCTTTAATGAAAAGCTTCATCTCGTCAAATGAAAATTCAATATAAAAACAAAGAGTATTTCGATAATCAATTTAAATTTGAAATATTTTAAAATTATGCATTTTTATATCAATATCTTTATGAACAGCCGACTGTCACTTGCAACTTTTTGTTTACAAAAATATTTCAAATCAAGTAATTAGATTTCGCTCTAACAATGAAAAAAGAAAAATGAACATTTAAATGAACAATTTAAATTTGAAATGTTTTAAAATTCTGCATTTTTATATCAATATTTTTATGAACAGCCGACTGTCACTTGCAACTTTTTGTTTACAAAAATATTTCAAATCAAGTAATTAGATTTCGCTCTAACAATAAAAAAAGAAAAATGAACATTTAAATGAACAATTTAAATTTGAAATGTTTTAAAATTCTTCATTTTTATATCAATATTTTTATGAACAGCCGACTGTCACTTGCAACTTTTTGTTTACAAAAATATTTCAAATCAAGTAATTAGATTTCGCTCTAACAATAAAAAAAGAGAAATGAACATTTAAATGAACAATTTAAATTTGAAATGTTTTAAAATTCTGCATTTTTATATCAATATTTTTATGAACAGCCGACTGTCACTTGCAACTTTTTGTTTACAAAAATATTTCAAATCAAGTAATTAGATTTCGCTCTAACAATAAAAAAAGAAAAATGAACATTTAAATGAACAATTTAAATTTGAAATGTTTTAAAATTCTGCATTTTTATATCAATATTTTTATGAACAGCCGACTGTCACTTGCAACTTTTTGTTTACAAAAATATTTCAAATCAAGTAATTAGATTTCGCTCTAACAATAAAAAAAAGAAATGAACAATTATATATAATTATATATAAATACAATAATTATAATAATGATAATAATTATATATAATTATATATAATTATATATATATATAATTATATATAATTATATACAATAAATATAATAATTATATATAAATACCTAATTATATATAAATACAATAATAGATGATAATAAAAAAAGCATTGTTATAAGGAAGTGAGAACGATGTTAACAAAATTGGTGCAACATTCTGATCATATAGGTATATCATTTATTTATTTAATCGATTTTCTCGCAGTATATTTTTTTGTTCATTCATATACTTCATCTTTCGTAAATCAGTTACAAGTATTATCGTCTATTATCTAAGGGTATAGGTAAGTAAGTTACAGGCTCTTCACAGTATTGACTCTATATACTATATCCAGACGACTAAACTTTGTGTGTATCTACAAATATATTATCTCGTATCGCATATATGTATGTACAGGGTGTCTTGTGCAATACTTCCTCCTAACGACAGTTACGTGCGATCGAGAACTGCATTTTGCGAAGAAAAACCTTAAATGGCCTTAAAAATGGACTAAGCGCACACAAAGTATAAACTTCAAGTCGGAAACTTACAATAATATCGATTCTCATGCCATTATAGAGTAAGTACACATAGATATTTTTGTTATATAACTCTAGTTAAATATCCTTTTAAAATTGCATATATCTTTATCAGCAAAATTACATTCAATTTCATTTATATCTCAAACACATTTCATTAGTGATTTGATCTATTGTGGTATCTATTGTCAAGAGAAAGCAGACACCATGTATACATATAGTATACTTAGTGTGGACCAGGAAAGGCGAGATCTATAACAGGGATGCATCGACGAATTTGAGATGAAATTTTCCTCGCCGAAGATTTCAACGACTCTAAGTACATTGTTTTAAGATTGAAACTAAATACAATTGACGAGTTATCACAAATGTTAAAAATATAAGTAACGAATTCTTATTTCATGTAAATATAAGAAGCAACGAAAAGGCGCTGTTGGAGAAAAAAATTATCTCAAATTCGCGCATCCCTCTTGTCGACATTCACCCTCGCCACTTCAGGTCCGCTCTGTATGTATATTTATAATAACATCTTTATTTCTCTAGATCAATATTTCTTTTTTTTTCTCTTCCCGTGTAAGGGAATTAATAAATATATATATATCTTTTTTATTATTCGAGTCTCAAGGGCAGAAGAAATCGTCGCAGTTTCTGGAGTGAGAATTAAGTCGTGTATTCCTCCTATTTTGATGAGAGAGGATCGGTTATACGATACAGATTAAAAGTAGATTTATACTTGATTTGACACATATGATTGAGGTTTCGAGCAAGTTTGTCTGCTGCTTAGCTCGCATCTCACAGCCTAGAGGTGATTTAAATCCAGAGCACGGATTCCATTTTATAAACGGAATGCGCCGTGCAAACGCCGCACAAATACCTCGACAAATGCCAAGCCCACTGCTATATTACTATGTTATTCGAAACAGCCGCAGAGTATCGATAATCGCCCGAAATTTATGTTCAAAAAAAAAAAAAAAAACAGAGCGCAAAGTGCAATGAGACAATATCTTCCAAAAGACTTCCTCCCAATTACTTTGAGAATATCGGAGTAATTGTTCCCGAAAATTAGAATATTCCAATTAATGAATATAATTTTCGCGATCCGCGAAAAACAGTTAAATATGATTTAAATGGTTAAATATAATTTATAATAAAATTTATAATATAATTTATAATATAAATTTATAATATAATTTATAATATAAATTTATAATATAATAAAGTTAAATATAATTTATATGGTTCATATTGCTTATTTATATGAACGAAATTAAACTCCAATAAAAAGCAAATGTCAAATTTATAAGTATAATTAAATTTAAATATGTTTTTAATATGCATCGAAATTAAATTTGAATACGTTCTTGCCATTAGATTTAACTTGTCCAGGCATATATATGGCTCATATTAATATTTAATAAGCATCTGAACCAATCTGAATTTCTAATTTGATTTATATTTGGAACAAATAAGATTTATAATTAACGCACAAATAGTATTAATTTAAATAAAATAAAATTCAAATGAAGGTTTCATTAAGGTCTAATAAAACCTTCGTTTGAATTTTATTAAGTCCACATTTGTTTTTCCGAGGAATATTCTCTCGACTTTGCCGATCATGTTCGGAATAAGTTACAGAAGCAGAACAATATTTCTGACTTTTAAACATTCTCTCTCAAGGTAGAACAGAGTTGGTTTCCCTTTCACCCCCATCGTATGCAATAACTATCTTAGCTTCTACTTTTGCGATATATCGAGGACTTCTTCTTTATAGCCAAAGTATTGTGCGCATTTTTATTTATCCGCAACGAGTCGCATACATTGATGTTCACTATGTGTGTTTCCGCCATAGCCGGCTTATATTCAGTCTTTTGCGATCTATCTTCTATAATGCGATTACGAGGAATGGAGAGGAGAAACTATTCCGAGGACGCAAAGTATTGTTCTGTTTCCGCAGAGCGAACATAAACCGCGGACGCACCTTCGCTGTTGCCGATAACACGTATGAGCCAGGTAGAATGAGAGTGACGTGAGTCGCGCCTGTCATCGGAATGCGCTTTATTAGATTAATCAGAACTGCCGGACCTTAAATTTTCTCAAATTTACCAATCACTTTCATTCTTACCAGCTACAAATAATATACATCTGTATATTCTATATGTATACATATATATATATATATATCACACATACGTTTGTGTGCATGTGGTCATTGTGCATTTAAAGTAAATACGACATAGTAAAATATAAAGCGGCAGCAGAATATACTGCAATACTGTTCGACCTATGAAAAAGGATGATGCTCCCCATTTTCTTTTTCTTCTTTTAATATTCATCTTTTTTTAATCCCTTATGAATAAATGCGCGGTCACATTTCTCTCTTCCCTTTTCTTTCTTGCTTCACTTATGTGTGTATGTACAATATGTATGTGTGTGTGTGTATATTGGCGATTTATCCGGCAACAATTCGATTCGTATTCGTAATAAACTTTCTCATTAATGTTTAACATGTCTCGTATAAACTATGCAGTGCCAATGCCTATCGAGTAAGATAAGTACACATAAAATATATGCAATCGGTAAATAACGTAATAAAATTATAAAGTATATATATCGCAAACATCATGGACGAGAGAGAGAGAGAGATAGAGATAGAGAGAGAGAGAGAGAAAGAGAAAGATGTGGAGAGAGAGAGAGGGAGAGTAATAATTTTTTATGAATATATTATGGGTCTATACACATTATATAGAATCTATGTATCTAGCTCCGTTGCAGATATTCGTCTGTCGCGCGATGTACTCGATAAAGATATATGTTGCTTATAGATATATATATATATCTGTCTCAAATTGGGGTGTTGAAATGCGAGCGCATTTCGCTACTTATGATTATTTCATAAATTAAATTACGCAACGCTTTTCGCTGATGCCTCTTTCCTTCCTCTCGTTTCGGGATATCCGACGCGACTTATGCGTCCGATAAAAGTGAAACAACTCAGCATGGGATATATATATATATATACAGGGTGTCCCAAAACTCATAATCAATCTTTGAAAGACAGTTTGCCGGGATCATTTGGAGACGATTTTTCCTCAACGGGAATGTCGAGGCGTTAATAATTTTCGAATTATAAGTGATTGGAAATAAGGGTTTTTTCGTAAGCTTCCCAGACCGCACACATGTCCAAAAGACATCTAAAAGACGACTTAAAGACGTCTTAAAGACATCTTTTGGCCTTTTTGTGCTGCCTGGATTTGTAGAAATAAATTATTAACGAAACCACATTCTTCCATTAATTTTAAATATAGTTTATTTTAGTTGAGTTTTAATTTAAGGCTTAATTGCAAAGATGTATGATGACAAAAATCGGGAAAAAATGATGGCCTCCATCGACATTTTCGCTGAGGAAAAATCGTCTCCAAATGATCCCAGGAATCTGTCTTTGAAAGATTGATTATGAGTTTTGGAACATCCTGTATATATATATACATAAATCTCTCCTCCCTCCATTAATGTAAATATTCATTTTTATCTAGACTAATGGATCAGTGGCGATATCGGCTCGCACACTCGCCCGTTTTTAATTCGATACACTTTCATAGATATATATAATTTTCTGTGTTTCTTCTTTTCTTATTTCTTTTTCCTCATCTTCTCTAGCTACTGGTATTGCAGGACAGTGCGTGCACTTTACAATGAACAATGTGAATGTACATATATGTATATGAGGATGCTCTGAAACTATCGCGCTTTTATTTCTTTCCGATAGCGTTCGGTTTGTCACTTGAAGATTTAATGATCTTCAATTCTCATTATACGATTATACAATATAATATACATTACATAATTCAAAATACGTAATAGAATATAAGCTTACTAAGAAATTAAGATTGTTTTATTTGTTTGCGTCCAAAAAAGAATTAAGTTTTCCTAAATTTTTTTCTCCTTGCTATTCGAGGTCGTTTATCTGATTTTCTGAAATTCCACTTCGGATAATAATTATTTCGCGTGATGTTTTTCATATTTTTATAATCGAGAAATGGCAATAGTTTCAGCATGTCCTAGGTCCAAACGACTGTTAATTATCGTCGTTTCTATTATTTTATCAGTTGCAAGAATTTGCAGAAATTTAAAGGGACGCGGTGCGTAATCCCGCGTAATCCTTAGCACAGTATAATTTACTCACGGACACTGATTAAGCAATATATCGATAAATATTACATTGAACGCTAGTCCCACACTTGTCTCTTTCTCATTCCTTTCGTCAAGATTTTCATTCTTGAATCAAACAAAACTCGAATAACTCGGTGCTAAGTAGAATTTAACGTCGTTTCGATGAGAGAGTCAAAAGATTAAAAAAAAGTTTCTTAATTTTAAAACCAATTAAAATAAAAGTAATTTCTCCATTTCGGATACTTAATTTAATGTCGAAACGATCATCTGGAAACTAGAATTAATTTTCGTTATTTAAGAGATGAGAGACGATTACAATAAGATTTATTAATTACTCTACTTGTCTTTCTTTTCAACGGCCTCGAATCGACCTAACGAAATCTAGTGGAAAATTTAATCAAAATTTCTGTCAATTTCTCGATGATACCAAAAGGACTGAGAAAGACGCGTGTATCCCGCAATCATTGATTAACTAGATATATCAGATACCTAAATGAAGCGCGGCCGAAAACGAGGCTACGCGCGGAACGTGACATGCATACGACGACACTTAACGCGATTAGAATTACTTTATATACGCTTACATATATATATATATATATATATATATATATATATTAATTAAAATTAATTAAATTAAAATATACTTATCATTATTATTATTATTATATATATAATAATAAATATATTTTATTTTAATTAATTATAATTAATTAATTTTAATTAATTAAAATGTTTTAATTTAATTAATTTTAATAAATTAAATTAAAATTTTTTAATTTAATTAATTTTAATCAATTAATGAAAATTAATTAATATATATATATATATATATATATATATATATGTATATGTATATATGTATGTTCCTTCGATGAGATTTGGTAAGGACCGACGCGCATTTTAGCATGAGTCTTTGGAGTTGCGCTCTTCGCGTCATGATTCAGCTTCACTTGGTGTTATCGATTAGCAAGTGGTAGTGGCATCTTGGACCGATAGGCCTTAAAGACGATACAAACGCGCGCATGTGTGTACGTGTATTTGTATATATATGTGTATGATGTGTGGAAAAATTTTCGCGCGAGACTGGAAAAGAGAACGGGGGGGCCTCAATCCCCCAGAGAAAATGCAATAATACTCGCGACATCCTCGCGTCGTCTTTCTCTATTATCAAATACACATATACGTAATCATAATAAAAGTCAGCGCTATCCTAGGCTACTCTAAATTTCATCTCTATCAAGCAATAAAATTATACATACGTACCTACTACGCTTATTCTTTCTCTATTAACGACAATGCGTGTAGAAAAATGAGCCTTTCGCGTCTTTGGTTAAACGCGAAGCATTTAGAAAGTAGTCTGGCAGTGGTTTCGTAGATGCTTCGACCTTAGCCTCGGACCAAATTTTGATTCTCAAATTTTTCACCCCCTTTTTTTTCTACCACTTTCATCTTTGTTCTCCCGTTCGTTTTTAGACGTAGTGATTTTTGGCTGTCAGTTGCAAAGGAATTGAATCAAAGTGACGTTTACTCAGAACTTGTGTCGTTGAGCTACGGTTTTTGTTTCCGATGATTTCTAAAGGGTACCAACCACGGTCGTCCGGCGAGCTCGACTGAGTTTGACAGGCTGTCTGAATTTGAAACTGAATAGTCCTCGCTGCGACCCTGACATGTATATGTCTGACACATAAACCGACGCGTTCAGAAATCCATTTAAAAGAAACTTATCCTTTGGTATCGTCATGTGTTTTTTTTTTTTTTTTTTTTTTTGGTTTCGTTTCATCATCGAACGACGATCGGTCGTCCCAGTTCGCGCGATAAGCCGGCTTCAATGAAGCTTCGTGTCCGACATAGACGGACGACCGCCATCGTCCTTGTCAGTTATCATCATCTCTCTTCCCTTAATGACTTTCAGAGCGCGCGACGCAAGTGACTGCACAGACAATGGCACAAGAACGGCGTGTTCCTGAAGAAGGTGTCGTTTAGGTCACTGAAAAATAAACTAGAGCTCTGCTTTCGCAAGACAGCGGCATCAATTCCCATCACTTTAGTTCACGAATAGATGGTGATCACTTCCCGTCCGCTACCCCGCACCATCAGTACCCTTTCCAAGCCTTCGGTAAGCACCTCGAGGAATTCCATATCTGGTTTTCAATAGTTAAGAAAATTTAATTAACATGTTTCCGTTTCTCTCTTATTGTTGTTCAAAAATCTATCAATGTTTAGCTTCTTAAAGTTCAGAATCGATGTTGAGAAGACATTCTGCACTGAGAAAAATCATTTGATTGTACCAACAAGACATATATGATACCAACAAGACATATATGTTATATAAAAGAAGCTTATTATTTTTATTAATATATTTTTAATAATATATTTATTAATATATTTTAATAATATATTTATTAATATATTTTAATAATAAATTTATTAATATATTTTAATAATATATTTATTAATATATTTTAATAATAAATTTATTAATATATTTTAATAATATGTTTATTAATATATTTTATTAATATATTTTTATTAATACACTGAGAAAAATCGTTTGATTGTACGAACAAGACATATATGATTGAAGGCATTTTAGTTAAATTAAACAAGAATTTATAGTTATCATAATAAGACTCGATTTTTTATAACTAGAATGTTTAATAGATTTTACTATAAGGATTTGATTAGTATTTTCTGGTTGGATCTATAAAATTTCTTATTACATTAATTTCTTTGCTTGCTTCTTAACTTAACTCGTATTCAATATTTGTCATGAAATGTATATAAAGAACTAGTATTAACGTTAAATCCAAAGTATATTTTTTTTCTTTTACAAGCAGTAGTGCCAGAAAGAGGACGCTAGCTCTCTGATTGTGTGTGTTTGAGCTGCATCATCTTCTTGCATCACTGTTTATCAGTTTAATTTCTAACAAACTGAATTTAAAATAATTTATTCAATAATCTGGATTAAACTTATAATCTTGTTGGAATTCAGAATGTTAAGGATATATTGGAGATATATTACAATCAATGAGATCGCCGTGAATTTTTAATTTAACATTCTTAATAACATTCTAAATCGTCATGAATTATTTCAAATTTTTTTACTTGCTCCTTTAAAAGTTATTAATTTTTGAATTTTGCAATTTTAACATAGGATCTTATGTAAACGTTCAAGAGAAAGGTAATAAATGATTCAAACTATAAAAAAACAATGATAAAAATTTCATTTTGTAATATTATATTCTTCATACATGTAAAAATGTTCTCACAAAGTTTTAAAATGATTTGCTTGCTCGTTTTGAAATTATTATAAAAAATAACTGTGATTATCGGTTTGACGTAATATTGATGTAAAATGTAAAAATGGTAAAATGTGGCAACATTTTCTTGGAAATTAAGACCTATTTATATTAGAGAATACTTTGAAGTATGATTTCGTGATTTTTAAAAAATTTTTGATCAATTAGAATTCGTATTCTGCCCAACTTTAATTTTTTGGTACTTTGGATTAACTTTTGAGACAGACCAGGTCCAATACATCCTTAAACAGACTTTTGAGATTAGATGGAAAACATTTTAGACGACTTGGTGCTGGCGAGTTTAGTATTATTAACCAGAAAATTTGGTAAATTTAACAGGAAGAAGTTAATCAGATTCATCTGGTAATTCCTACAAGAATTCTGGTTCGTCCATTTTCCAACAGACATACTGGTTGAATCTACCAGAATTCTAATTAATGCAACCAGATTTTTTCCTCAGTGTGGCATTCATTAAGTTATACAATTAAAAATTTGAATTATACTAATCAGAATTATTATTAAATTTTATTATTAAATTTTATAATTAAATTTGAATTATACTAATCAGAATTATTACGATATTGTTTTTCTGAACAATACGACATTTTTTTTTAAGATGATTGAAAAAAAGGATACAGTTAGATTCACGTTCCATCTTGGTGTCCCTTGGCGGACCAGGAAGATTCAAAATAACCAGCTGAGCTTCGCTACTCATCTTTCGGATTACCTCATTCAATTTCAACGAAGTGTGCATACGCCTTACATCACCCTCGTCGCTGTTCGACAGAATCGTTTGTTAAAAAATAAATATCAATATTAAAATGAGAAAAATTATCGTTACAACTCACGGTGTAATCGTGGGTTTCTTAACTTCCGGACTCTGACTCTTGTTCTCTTGCGCATTACACTCTTTCTCCTCCCTCTCTGTATTCTCCTTGTTCTCCGTCTTGGGCGAACCGCCGGTAACTTTTGTTTCTTCATCATTGTTTTCCTTAGCCTCTTCTTTTTCGTTCGCCTCCTCGGCGACATCCGGTTCTTTATTGTTCAATTCGGTTTCCTGCATCAATTTCTCCTTCGTGTCGTCGGTTACATTTTGGTTACCCGGCTCCTGGAATCTCACCTTCGTCGGTATTTTGGCGTCGATGTTATGATGGTGGTCCACGATTGCCTGCACCTGTATTACAGCAACGCAAGTAAGCAATGCGAAAAACACTGTGTCCCGAATAGCGGAAGGCAGTCAATCGAAAGATGAGACTAATAATCTAGCATCAAAGCACTAGGGCCGTCAAATCAATGCTATCTATGTAAGCAAATCGTGCCAATGAAGCCGAAATTCGGGGATAATTCCTGAGATCATGATGGACAGAAAGAAGCAAATCGTTGCCAGGCGCTAATATTGAAGGATATTGAAGACAAATATTGGAGAACATTTCCAAATTAATTTTTAATTTTGAAAATTAGAATAATCAAAATTACACGATGTTGATATTGTTACGTTTACAAGTTTATCACATTACCCAGACAGCACACATGTCCAAAAGACATCTAAAAGACGACTTAAAGATGTCTTAAAGTCCTTTAGACATCTTTAAGACATCTTTGTGCTGTCTGGGTATGAACTATTTTATCTTTATAAATAAATTAATTTCTTTTCGAGAGCATTTAATTTTTAAATCATAATATTCTTAGCAATTCATCATATTTGCAAGATACCAATTCAATAGCGACCTCGCAACGATTTCCCCTTATGGCTTTTTTTATCATATGTATGATCGTCGAGGAGGAATAAGACCGTTATGTGATTATCGTGGAAATAGAGAAAGGGAATATAAAATCATCGATGCATAATGGAGCAATGATGAGGGGCGAGACAGGCATACATGGAATTCCGAGGGTTATCTGACAAACCAGAGGTAATTTTTCCTCGGCTGGTACCTCGTTGAAGTCCACCAATGACTGCACCTTTATCCGTGACAAGCACGCAACAAACAGACACACACCGATCAGTATCACCGTCTCTCTATGTTATTTTAGTATTACATGTATATATCTATACATATAATGCCATAAGCAGTTTTCCCCTTTGCCTCGCATGCAACACTCACCACTCCTAGCGACTGTTTCTTGTTCAATTGTAGCTCGCGTAACATCTGATTCCTCTGCTCCATGATTAGGGTACGTTCGTACGTGTACGCAGAAATATCGGTATTCGTCTATAAACAAGCGAAAACGTGGAATTTTAATTTATAAAATTAATCATGATGTCTACAAACGACAATTTTTTTTTCATTAAAAACGTTTGTTACATTGAAATTTTCAAAGAATATTAATTTCTCCCTGTATCTAAATTATATAAATTGTAGAATCAAATTACCATCTCGACGATTTCGACTTCTGCTTCGATTCTCAGGTCGTACAGAAATTTCTTCAGATCTTTCTTCATCTGTATGGAATTATCTTCCATCTGCGCGACTGTGAAAATCCTCATCTTGCAGTTTTTCCAGGTGCGATGCTGCTTCAATAAGAACGGTAGTAGCATCAGTAGACCGCCATCGTGTACTATCCACCAAACATCGATATTGCCGATTATCTTCTCGCTGGAATCTGGGAAAAAGTTGATGCCCTTGGGTACTAATAACGCCATCTTGGCAGCCTGGACGCTTCTCACGGTTTGCAGGAAGACTCGCCAGGTTCTCTCTTCCTCTGATTGCCGCCAACCGTATGGCCAACCCAATATCACTGTGTTAGGCTTCAATCCGCCTAACCCGGTAATTTGTATCAGCGAGCTTAGGCCATCGACGGCATTCTTTGCCACGAGAACGTCGACAAAACCCTTAACTTTTTCTTCAGACGCGGTCTTTTTCAAGCTCTGTTTGGCTGCCAATGCTTCGCCCGAGTTCTGTGTATAATCGCCGGCAATGCAGCTGACACTGATGGTGAGACCTTTGCCGGCCTTTAGCTGGCTAGCAAAGGCAAAAAGTTTGCGATACTTGGGCACCAGATCATCAGTGAGTTTGGCGAGGATTAGGATCTGCGGGCGCCAGTTCTTCGTGTGCGGTGGGCCCTCCTCGAGTCTAAGCAGCGAATATCTAGCGGCAGATAGCGCCAGACCGCGAATACCATCGCCCCACTCCTTTTCAGCGCCGCGATATTCGATATATTTGTAAATACAGCCGGCCATACCCATCGCTAGCAATGCGTAGTACCAACTGGTCATGAACATGATAGCAATGCAGAGTGATAAACCAAGGAACGACAAACTCCAGTGATAATACTTGAAGCGCGGTCGCCAATTGGGCGTGCGCAGCAGGGTCTGCAGTGCGCAGGCGAGGTTTACAAAGCCGTAGCACATGAGGAAGAACATGGACAGCAACGGTGCCAGGTAGTCTACGTTGCCGAGTAGGATACCACATTGGCAGATCAATATGGTGAGTATTAGGGCACGCGTAGGTTCGCCCCGACTGGAGCTGGTGGCAAACGGCGTCAGGAAAGGAATGATGCCGTCCTTAGCAATCGCCTGTAGCAGTCGTGGCGCTCCCGTCAATGATTGTAGGCCGGCGCCCAAAGTGGACAAGAAAGAACCGATCAGAATCACCCATTGATTCGGCCACGCCATATTTGCCACTACTAGCTTGCCGCCGATACTTTGACCAAACTTGTCGCGTAGTAGCAAGTTGTCAACGGTCCCGGCAAAGAGTAAGACGCTAGACAGATAGACGGTAGAAGTCGTCAGAATCGCGCAGATTGTGCCAATTGGGATGGATTTCTGGGCATCAGCTAAATCACCGGATCGATTGGAGCCCGCCATGATTCCTATAGATCATCATTAATTAATTATCATTTGTATATATAATATAATGAAAAAGAAAAAAAAATAATAATACAATATACAGGGTGTCCCATTTTAATCGATCACCCCGAATATCTTTTTTAATTTTGATCGTAGAAAAAAATGTTTCCAACAAAAGTTGCATGGCTTGAAGGAGGACATAAGATGGTGTCATTAGTTTGACATTGAAGGTCACATCCAACTTTTCAAATGGGACACCCTATATGCTTTTGCATATTCTTATAGCTCATCTAGAGAGCTTTCCAAAACACTATAATTAAGTTAGTTTTCATTAAGTACTTTCCGAATTATGAGGCTTGAAATCGTTTCTTAATTTTACATAAATCGTAAAATTATCTTGTAAAATATTCATTTTTCGATTATCCTACCTTAATACTTTTACAAAATAACGAGAGGAATCAATTAGTGTAACGAAAACACATGATTGTTTCGAGGAAAAAAATATGAAATTGTTAATTGCAAATTACGAATACGTATGACGAGATTCATTAGCTTACCTGTTACGGAAGGAAAGAATATACCGATGAGAATGGTAAAGGTCGTGGTGAGATCGACTTGAATCTGATTGTAGCTCGAACCTGACAGGACATCCATGTCCTTCGGATCGGACCCGTATGAGATTAATTGGCCCTCCTCTTGAAAATTGTCCCATATGTTCTCTGCATGTCAGAAAACGGAGGGCACATTTCAACTAATTTATCTGTCTCATATTAATTATTATACAAGACAGATAAATTATTTAAATTATATTTATATCTTATATAAATATAATTTATTATTTTTATTGTTTTTATTATTTTTATTTGATTACACAAAAATTGTAACCTTACCCAAGAAGACGCCACTGGCCAAGCCACGAATACCGTTGACAATAGTAACGTTGTTCTCGGTGTAATACGGATCACATTTACTACGGGTGTTGTTACCGCAATACATGCCATGTAAGACGCCGCTAACGTTTTTATTGCAATCCGCTAGAATGTTGATGTCCTTTAATAGTCTTCTGCCGAGTATGCACATTCTGAAACACAAATGTCGGAGTTTTACAGCGCTCAATCCTCTTTTAATTCGCTTGTCTTCTGCGAAAAATGATTTATGGATCGTCCGTACAATGTTATAATATCGCGACAATATTCTCATTATTGATAACTATGTAATACGAAAATTATCGTAATTAGTTTAGTACTTCAGAGATTCGTTGCCGTTAAAGTTCACGAAGAGTCCCACGTAAACAGCAACGATGGAGAGAATGACGCAGGCCAGTGCCACTGTAGCGAACTTGTTAACGAACTTTACGCCAACGAAGACAATTGTTCCCATTATCAGAAGCAGGCCAGTGCCATATACCCGGAAGTTGTTGTACATTATACTAGCATCCTTCGTAAAGTCACCGAATATGCTGAGTGACGGTGCCATGTAAGTCTACACAAAAGTACCGAGAAAAGATGAGTAAGGCAAGCAGATATATCCTATAATATTAAGATAAAAATTAAAGGTTAATATTAAGATGAAATATTAAAGGTTAATATTAAGATAAAAATTAAAGGTTCACCTTAATCCATAAAATATAAATGATATTTTATATTATAAGAGAAGAGATAAATCGTGCCATATTATTTGATACATGACAATTTGATTAATTTCAACAACTATGAACTATGAAACTGGTATCCTTACTTTTTTATTTTAGATATAGATGTAAATCTCAGTGCAATCAATTAAAAGATTAATTGAAGTAATGATCGATCGACAGGTACTTACGAGGACGATTTCAACCGCACCGATGATGTACATCGCAGCAGCCAAAGTAGTACCGGTGTAAAACAGCATACCTACGGCACCGCCGAATTCCGGGCCTAAGCTTCTCGATATCATGAAATAGGAACCACCGGCTGGTACCACGCCATTGGTGGCGATGGCACTCATGCTGATCGCCGTCAGCATCGTCTACGAGAAATAACTGTTTGTTACGATTCATTTTCATATTCTAGAAGCTTAATTCAGCGCGAAGTTACACATTCATCGCTCACAATTAAATTTTTAATATGTTTTTAAGGATGTTTGTACAATCCCAGCAAAAAGTAGCTGAAAATCAATATTGACGAATATATCCACTTTTGGTGTATTTTGAATAAGAAATTATGTGGAATATTACAATTTGATCTTAGCTGCAGTGTATTTTTTAATATTTATTGCGTTTTTATTGAAATATTCCGAATTTTGTTAATCGAGATGATTAACTTTTGGCAGAGAATTTCGCCTTATGACAGATACATGGCTAACTTTATTGAATTATATTTAATATCTTTTTAACCAGTTAGTACTTGTATAATATTATTTGACCGAATATTTCCTCTGTATCTAAACTTTTGTAAATTTTCAACAAATTCTGAATATTATTTCCATGTTTTTGTCATTTGAATCGACGTGGTTATAGGTTTCCCATAAGAACACATGTTAATTCGATGCAAATTAAAATCCTTATAACTTGTGAACGCTTTAGTGAATCGATTTAAAAATTGTACTAAAGATTCTAAACATATGTAAGGACATTCTGTACCATTTTCATTAAATTCTCAATATTTTTAAAATAGGTATAAAACATCCTTAAGGATGTTTTGTATGTACAATATCAGCAAAAAGTAGCTGAAAATCAATATTGACGAATATATCCACTTTTGTGTATTTTGAGAAATTTTAAGAAATTATGTGGAATATTACAATTTGATCTAGCTATAGTGCAGAGATGTATTTTTTAATATTTATTGCGTTTTTATTGAAATATTCCGAATTTTGTTAATCGAGATGATTAACTTTTGGCAGAGAATTTCGCCTTCTGACAGATACATGGCTAACTTCATTGAATTATATTTAATATCTTTTTAACCAGTTAGTACTTGTATAATATTATTTGACCAAATATTTCCTCTGTATCTAAAGTTTTGCAAATTTTCAACAAATTCTGAATATTATTTCCATGTGTTTTTGTCATTTGAATCGACGTGGTTATAGGTTTCCCATAAGAACACATGTTAATTCGATGCAAATTAAAATCCTTATAACTTGTGAACGCTTTAGTGAATCGATTTAAAAATTGTACTGAAGATTCTAAACATATGTAAGGACATTCTGTACAATTTTCATTAAATTCTCAATATTTTTAAAATAGGTACGAAACATCCTTAAGGGGATGCCGGAGTCTTGTTTTACCGATAAAATGTCATTTTATTTTTATCCGAAATCATTTCATTAATTGCATAGAATAATAAATGCTCCTCCACGATTAAAGTACATACAGAAACAAAGCGGCAACCTCCTATTTTTATGTTAAAAATTAAGAAAAAATTGAAAAATTACAGTTTTTTATCAGCTTCTGGGATGAAATCGCAACAATATTTGCTTTGTATGTACAAAATAAGATAGGTTCCCGCTAGAGATTGTATGAAGAAATATAAACTAACTTTTAGAAATGAGTTTAGAAGTCTAATGAAAAAGATTTCGATAAATCAAAATTTTTTTCATTAGGCTTCTAAACTCATTTCTAAAAGTTGGTTTATATTCCTTCATATAATCTCTAATGGGAACCTATCTTATTTTGTGCATAGAAACTGCAAAACTTTTATATTAAGCAAATATTGTTATGGCCTTTTTATGATTTTCAATTTTAAAAAATTTTTAATATAAAATCAGGAGGAATTCCTGCTTTATTTCTATATGTACTTTAATCGTGGAGAAGCATTTATTATTTTGTGCAACTAATAAAAAGATTTCGGACAAAAATGAAATATAACATTTAAAAAGAACGTTAAAACAGAACTCTGGCATCCCCTTAAGAGCAAATTTATGTGGCTAAAATTTCGATTTTTCATACAGTTACATTCTGCAAATGTATACTCACTACGCAACAGCAGCAAAGGACGATGAAGAAACCTTGAATAGCGCCAGCCGTACCAACTACCCATGTTAATCGGATAAAGAGGATTACGCCAAAGATATTTTGGATACATGGCAGATAGACGCCTATGAGGGTACCCATTCGCGCTCCACCCCCAGCAGCTGGTGCCGGTTTGCTATCAGGGTCAGTCGCAGCCGGAATCGTGTTGCTATAGTTGGCCAAGCTGTTGAGCAATGTCGAGATCCGCGGCCGATCCTCCATCTCCTCCTACGATTCAATTCGATTCTTATCCCTCGATCACACGTATAATATTGCGGATTTCAAAAATAAAATATTTTTACTTCACTCTTTCTTTTTTCTTATAACATTTTGGCCGAGTATTTTAATTTAAAAAATCTTTTGAATAAAAAAAAATAATATAATTTAAATTATAATAATTAAATTATAATAATTTAAATTATAATAATTAAATTATAATAATTAAATTATAATAAATTTTTAAATTATAATAAATATTTAAATTATAATAAATTTAAATTAAAATAATATAATTAAAAAAAAATAATATAATTTAGCTTGTGCACTATTTTTAGAAGAAGAGACATTTGAATGTTTTATTCGAAATTTGAGTGATATGGATGATCACATATTGACTTTCGCTACTTGTTATAAATATTAGACTTTGCTACTACTTTTCATTTATCTGTGTTTTCAATTTTTGTCTTCTCGCGTATAGATTTTATTAATAGAATCTAATGTAATTTTCAGATTTCTAAACCGGCAAACTATTCAATCCAGTCATCAATTCTTATCATTCACATGCTTATGATCAGAATCGCGATCCTCGCTCGCGTTGTAACCCTATATAAGCTTCTTATTATGCCAAAAAGGACGCAATCTCATTTGCAATTTTATTGATAAACTTGCGGAAAAGTGTCGCGTAACTTCGTCCGTCGAGACGCTTTTATGGAAATTGTTGGTCCTTTGTCATGTAAGTTCTCGCAACCTCGTTACGAGGATATTACGTTGTTGTTGATGTAATTTCCTGATGACTACTTCTCGAAACAGTCTGTTCTTACATACAAGAAATACAGATTCATGTACATCAAATGTGTTATTATTGTTATTATCGTAAAGAATGCCGATTTTCTTCAGAAAATTACAATAAATTATCTTTGATATCCTAATCTCTTAAATAGAATAAACAAAATATTATTCAAGAATAGGGATCTTTCTATCTTCTGCAAATAAAAAGAGCCAGCTTATTTCTCTCTCTTGAAAGATTAGTATTATTATAATTAATGATTAAATTTTCTTTGTCGGAAATTACTTTAAAAAAAAATTTAAATGCATCATAAAAATATTTGTTCATTCCCTTAAGTTTAATTTCGATAACGCCAAATGAGTTAGTTTCGATAGAACCGGAGTGCCGGGAGGGTTGAAATCGTCGTAGAGCGAATTAGCGAATTCGACGAGATATAATATTCGTTTCATGAGATTCGATGCTCGATAATGGTCCGCAATTTTGAACGGAACCGAGCACAGATAAGAAAACTGGGCCGGCAAAAGCTCCGGTTGCTCTCTTACAGTTAGAAAAATAGCAGAGTTCTTCGTTAAAATATATCGAGGAGTAAGAACGAGGACAAGAGAACAAGAAGAAAACGAAAGAACCAAAATATGCGGCTTAACTGACATTCTGAAGGAAAAATAATCCAGAAAAGAATTTTTAGTCTACGCTCGATTATGTCGCAAAATTCCTTCTTGTTTGTTCTTCCAGAATTTTGTAGTACGTACTCAGTATTATTGAAGGAAACATTTTTATTGTTTTTAAAATTTTATATATAGCTCTAATGTTTTCATATAAAAATATAATTTTATGTGATAGATATAATTTTTTGATAAAATAGAGAGAGAGAGAGAGAGAGAGAGAGAGAGAGAGAGAGAGAGAGAGAGAGAGAGAGAGAGAGAGAGAGAGGGAAGGGGAAGGACAGAATCTAATTTTGTTAACTTTTACGTGTATAAGCTCCAATTCTAATTTCGTTTATACAGATAGCTAATTTTCACAGTAATATATTCTGTTAATTAATTATTACACAGAAATGAATGTTATACACATTCGAGGTAGATAATCTCTTGGAAAGATAGTATTAAGAAAATGATTAACGTCTAATAAAATGATACATACATTGAAAGTTAATAAATTAAATCTAATATAATAATTAAATAATAAATTAAATCTAATATAATAATTAAATATAATATTACTTTTATATATATATATATATATATATATATATATATATATATATAATCTTTCTTTTAAAGCAAAATGCGAAAGTTTTCTCCTTTCCAATCTTAATTTTTAAATTAAAATATATATTATTAAAGTATATATTTAAAAATTTATTAAAAATAAACTCGTCAAGAGAGATTAATTTTATTAGACTTTTCTTGTACTTACACTGTAGAGGTACAGATTGGTCTCATATCCTGATTTTTTCTCGGAATTAGTGCTGCCGACAATAGGATCGCCATCTCCGCCTGCACCGCCTCCATCGCCTGAAAGCAAGAAAAAATGCAATTAATCATTTGCCGTTTTATTTGGATGCGAAATGCTTGTTTTAAGACTTCGGGAGAAATTATACCAGCCATCGAGAAAAATTTTAAAATTTCCATTAAAATTAATATCGAGAATGTTCTCAAGAAAATTGGCACTTTTCTTTAAAGGGAATGAAATTCCAATTACCTATTTATTGTTAGTAATTAATTTATTTTCTTTATTCCATTTCACACGATGTTGTTTGTTATGTTTTGCGGTTAATTTAGATGCAAACGTGTGTGTTGATACATATATTTTCAGTTCAATTAATTAAAAAGCCGTTCATAAAATATTTAAAGTGTTCAGAATGTTTGTAGAAAGCTGTAATATTTATAATTATCTGCTGGATGGCTTATATGTGACTCCGATTATTTTTGCAAGATTAAAAATTAGTTGTCAAAGCGTTATGGATTGATGAAATAATATAATTTTAATTTTCATAAATAAACATAGCGAGGAAAAACAAATCTTCTTCCTGTTCCAACAAATATATAATACAGATTAAATATAATATCATATAACATTAATACAATATAATATAATATACATTAATACAATATACATTAATACATTAATATAATATACATTAATACATTAATATAATATAATATAATATTACTTAATTAAAAATAAAATAAATTATATATAAAATTAAATATAATATAATAATATATATAAAATTAAATGTAATGTATACGTAATAATATTGTAGCGTAATAATATTTATATGTAATAATATTTATAATTAAATAATATTTATAATTTACAACAAAAATCAATAACATAAATTGTCACAAATAAAAAAATGTACACGCTAGCGTCAAACTATGTGTGTATTCGTAATTCATGAACAGTTTGTAAATAATGTGAAGAGAAAAACGCGTTAAATTTGCATTCGTGATTATTTGCGCTGATTCAGCAGCGAAACTGCTTCTCAAAATCAAAAGATATGAATCGTCACAAATAAATTCATTGATTTATATATAGCATTACATTATACGTGAAGATTTGTGATTATATGTCTGGCTCATGTCTGGATAGGAAAATAAGGGAGGAAAATAAAGAGATTGTCGTGATTTATCGAAATTATACAGAAGCGCCGAAATGTTTGCTGAAATATCGGGATAAATTTACGATGACGAATTACAAATCACGAATGATTAACTACGAATGATTGTCAGTAGAGACTCTATAACAGCAAACAACGAATTACATTACTATGAATTGCGAATCGTGACATGCATAATCTGACGCTAACAAAACGTTCACATTTACGTTTTCTAATCTTATACTCAGAATTATCAATGTTTAAAAAAAGACTGTATTTTACATATCTCATATATGATTTCTTATCGTTATCGTTACTTACACTTATCTATTTTATTTGATATTGATTTTGTAAATGATTTTTTACGTTATCGTTGCTTACGTCATCATTTATCTATTTTATTTTATATATTTCGTATATGATTTTTTTACGTTATCGTTGCTTACGTCATCATTTATCTATTTTATTTTATATATTTCGTACACATATATGATTTTTTTACGTTATCGTTGCTTACGTCATCATTTATCTATTTTATTTTATATATTTCGTATATGATTTCTTACGTTATCGATGTTTATGTTATGACTTATCTTATTGCTCTACATTCGGTCTTTTTCCGCGTTTTATACGCGAAAGAAATATTGAAATATAGGCGAGAATTTAACGATATTACGCCCTTAAAGGTCTAACTTCCAATATAGTATCCCACGATACAAATGGCACTAGTCCAACTGGCACGTACGATCGTTAATCGACCTGACAGAATTTTTATCAACGCCAATTCAGAACCCGTCTCGTGAGGAGAGCTCTAGTCTCTCGGCCCATTTATCTCTCTCAGCGAATCTCGACTCTTTTTTGGTATTCTATGATGTTCATTTTCTAATAGAAAAATATTTTTTTATTCAATTCGTGTACCAAGCTGCTCAAATATAAAATTTATCCTAAGTTTTGTGATTATTTGTTTCTCAAAATTAATGCTTCCTTTTTTAAAAATATAGATAAATATTCAAGTTATGAATTAATAAAGAAAGAAAATTTGCAGATATATTTTGATAAATTCACATCATTCAAATATAAATTTGAGCAAGAGAGACAAATATTTTTTCAGAACTTTAAAATACAATCATCAAAATATTTAATATCAAATATACATGTATAATATTTGGAAAAGTGTATATAAAAATTAATGTATAAAATATATATATTACGTGAAAAAGAGAAAGAAACATAAAAAATATTTTTTCTCTTCAATAATATTCACAAATATAAATATTATTCTCGGAAGTTACGAATTTTCATACAATTTATCGTACAATATTTAAGCAATTTTTCATCCGTTAATGCGGGAAGAATGATGATGAAGAAAAAGAACGGGCAAAGGAAGACTAAGAGGATAGCGAAGCGGATTACGCGTTCTTACGTCATCGACGAAGGGCCGTGCTTGACAGTCGTGAGAGAAGGCTCTTCTTACCCTTGTCTACTTGAAAAGCTTCAACGTGACATATCAGAGCCGCGAATTTCACTCGTAATCCATTTCCGTGGCCGGCGCGAATAACGTTACGAGTAAAATGCATTACGCGATAGATATTACGCGATCAATGTAAACAAGACAATAACTCTTAGTCGACATATTTATAGTCGACAGTTTTCCCGATATACGGATCGTAATTCGCGAATTAAACGATACTTTTTGTAGAATGTCCGATATTTTTTATGATTATACCGTATGTGACATCGAAAAAATATATATATATCTAGAAATATTTATAGCGCAGATGTGTTTAACGTTCGGAAAATTGAGTTATTCCTTAGCGTGATCATAATCTTATCAGTCTTGTATATCGAAGATATATTTTCTTATTCTATAAAGATGAGCGGATAATTGAAATCTTCGAAAAACAGGGCATCCGCGACGATTTTTTTATTGATAGAATTCAATACAACTGCATCAAATTTTTTAATTATTATTATTTTATTATGATTGTGATATAAGCCACAAAAATTAATATAAATATAAATGAATATAAATAAGGTAAATATTATTATAATTTAAATTAATATAAATATATAAATTAATTTTATATATAATTTAATATATTATATATATAGGATGTTTCATAAGTGGTGGGCAAAATTTCAGAAATGGATTCCTCATGCTTAGAGAAGAAAAAAAGTTAATCAACAAATGTAACAAAATGTAATACAAAATTATGTGACAGAAGGTGGACATATTGAACACTTCCTCTAATTGTCCAAAATCTTAATAACTCAAAAACTAATCATTTCCGGATCTATATTGATTAATTTTTTTTCTTCTCTAAGCATAAGGAATCCATTCCTGAAATTTTGCCCACTACTTGAAACACCCTGTATATATATATATATATATATATATATATATATATATAATATTATATATAATTTAATATATTAATTTAAATTAATATAGTAAATATTATTAGAAAAATAAATATTAATAGAGAAATAAGCAAAAACACGATGAAATATGTATTATTAAGATCTATCAAACGCGTCATCTTGTAATGATATTATTAACGACTTTATCAACGAATAAATTTTATTATTAGAAAAGCATTGTTCCATTTACGATCTGAGTTATCGCGCGCAATTTCTGCTAGTTTTATCGGCGATGTAACGTAACGGAAAAACGGTAGAAGTACGAGAGCGACGCGAAGTAGGTCGATGGTTTCTCGACGTGTGTGATGCAATGCCAAGGCTTTCTCATGTAGAGAAAAGTAGATACAGTAGACGCATAACAAAGAGAAGCATGCAGATAATGTAGGAGGATAGGACGCATCCGAGGGGAAAAATGTGTCACAATTATTATTGAATATTTCTTGACTGTCATCTACCGCCCGCGTTCATTCCCCTTATCTTGATATTTCGAGAACCGCGGACTTCCCGTTTTTTTCCCCCCATGTCCAAGCGAACTTTATTACGCTCTGTCGCCAGAAACCGCATATTTCGCTCGCGAATTCCACGCAAGTAACAAATCCCAGGATAATTGCGTCAACGGTGACAGGATCTCGATCGGAATCCTGCGAGAGCGACGTGACCGAAAAGGAGATGCGCGTGGAATCCGGAAAATCGCTTTCGTGTTTCGTTTCTAAAGCCGGGACGAGTATAAAATAAATAAAAACAAAAATAAAAATAGTCATCTCAATATTAATCTCTAATATTTTTTTTTTTAGATATCTTGAATCATTTTTTCATTTGTTTGATATTCATTTTCAATACTTCTCTAAATAGAAACTGTTTACATTTTTATTATTTAACCTTTTCGTACCTCCAGCTTTCCCAAAAGAGATGTGTTTCATATGAAGACAATTTTATAGATTTTACAGATTTTTTAGACAATTTTATAGATTTATAGATTTTATAAATATATTTTATTTTAATTAAATTTTACTGTAAACATTACATTTCAAAGTGCGCGATTTTTTTACATATAGCTTGAACCTTCTTCTTTAAAATAAGCCGAGGTAAAAATCGATAGGATTATTTGTTTAAACGTTATAATTTTTTTTTCATAGGTGAAACATATACAGGGTGACCCATTTTAACTTAGGCAGCCAAATAACTCGAAAAATAAGCACACTACGAAAAAATGGTTAGAATCAAAATTTCGTCAGTTAAAGGGGGACATACAATGACGTTAAAATCAGCCCCCCCACCCCTCCCCCTGGGCGGTGAGGGGGGGCAAGTTTGAAATCTTAAATGGAACCCCCTATTTTTCATTGCATATTCTTGTAGCTTATCTCGAGAGCTTTCCAAAACACTATAATTAAGTACCTTTTTATTAAGTACTTTTTGAGTTATAAGGCTTGAAATAATTTCTTAATTTTACATAAACCATAAAAGATCTAGTAAACCATTCATTTTTCGATT